TAAGTGTTTTACTATCAGGAAGTTTCACGTTGTTGACGGCTTAAGTGGAGGTTTCAAATGTTCAACGAGAAACCACAATGGCATTGGTATTCTCCGAGAAACCCTTTCTCCGTCGTTTCAATCCGTTGCGAGACAGGAATGACGTCACTCTGATATACATTGACGTCAGTAAACAATACTTCCTTGACAACCGAACCGCCTGATTAGTCGAACAAACAGACAATTGAACTTCCTTTACGTATACTATTCACACTGAGGTGATAGGATATTCCAGTTGCAATGTTGAGCAAAATGCTGTTTCCAACATATCCCAGCTTCGAGTGCCATTAACAACGCGTTATCTGAGTCAGATTGACGCGCACATTCATGAGAAAAGCATATCTATACAACACCTTCAGGCATACAACACAGCCAAGCATAAAATATTTAGTTTCAAAAATGAAATAGATATACCACAGTCTACACAAGGCCACCCTGGGCTTCATGGAGTTGAATTCTAAATGGTAACATATATTCAGTAATGTTTATTTTTCTATTTGTCGATTAACGCCGCACTCAGCAATATTTCGATGGTTTTCTGTATATATTTGCTTAATTTGAAGTTTACACGATGTACGGCTTTTCCATTGGACGGGAGGTCGGTCACACGCAAAATTGACGTTCACAAGTGAAACGTAAGATCGTTCACGAATATCCTCGCTACGACCCATCCCAGTGACAAAAAAGAAATGCACAACCAAACAATCGTTGTATCGACTCGATACGTGTCTAGGCTGACAGTGACAGTCTACAGTAATCTATGTATTGACCTTAGTGTCTATTTGACACATCTTTAATCACCTTTCAATGATCGGCCAATTGATCAATGATGACTAAAACATGTAACCGCCACAGGTTCATTAACAACTTCCGAAATCTCTCCCGTCACGTTTATCGTGTCGGCCATTTTAACGTCTTGTACTTGATGTAACTGTTTTACGACGTTGTCGATGTGACTGACTTACTGGGGTAGTTCTTATCAGACCTTTATGTTATATTTGAATGCATGTGTTGTGTCAGATTTTTCTGAAGAGTAAGTTGTGCATACATACGTTCATGTCACCTCTCTTGTGGGGAACTATATTATTCCGTGACACGGCTGGTTGGTGTATGGCTGTTAAACTAGATTGTAGATCAAAACTTGTGACAAAAAATCACAAGCTCCGAAGTTCATACAGTTTTGCCCTCTTTCTATGAAGGTTCATACTACAATGAGCTCACACAAAGTGAAAGTCAATTCTTAAATAATCCTGTCTGGACCAGACAACCCAGTGATTCATAGTATGAACAACGATGCAGATTTACGATGACACGGAATCTAGTCACAAAGCCTGAGCACTCGATCCATTAAGTCGTTTCTTAAGAAATAATATACTGCCGGGCAAAAGAAAGTATACCCATGTTTGATGGTGGCTAAAAATGAACCAAACACGAAATGGTTATTCGATGGTGATTTACTCTCATACAGGGGGCGGTCGGGTAGCCTAGTGGTTAAAGCGTAATATTGCTGTAATTTTGCTAAAAGTGGCGTAAAACCATACTCACTCACACACTATTGTCATACGGCTATCATATTTGTGTTTTGGGCCTACGTTTGCAGTGTTTCGGCTTTTTTTTCAGCGTGGTCACGTTTTTATAACGTTTTTAATGTTTTACCAAATCGTATTTTCAAGTGTGTACTTTCTTTTGCCCGGTTGAATAAAACAATACACCGATATGAACTATTCACTGGAATGAACTCTTCTACATAACTCTACGTAACTGACTGAAAGTCACTCGGACCACCGTATCCCGATACGGTCTTGTTTACCGTATTAATTATCTGGGATGCTACTAACAGACAGGGTAGGTTTGCGCTCAGGTTTACCTAACTGTCACTGGATCGGACTGTAAGTGTTGACGTGTCCAGTAGTCTGGTTTGATCACTCTAGGGTAGTATGGAGCGTGATTCAAATAACGAACAGGGTGTTACATTCTAAGTTTCCGGTTAACTATCATTTTCCCGCTACGAGTACTACTGCATTTACACGTTATTCACGGTAGATGCAAGGATCGGAACTAACAATGTTCACCGCTACGAGTACTACTGCATTTACACGTTATTCACGGTAGATGTCAGGATCGGAACTAACAATGTTCACCCGCTACGAGTACTACTGCATTTACACGTTATTCACGGTAGATGTCAGGATCGGAACTAACAATGTTCACCCGCTACGAGTACTACTGCATTTACACGTTATTCACGGTAGATGTCAGGATCGGAACTAACAATGTTCACCCGCTACGAGTACTACTGCATTTACACGTTATTCGCGGTAGCTGCCAGGATCGGAACTAACAATGTTCACCCGCTACGAGTACTACTGCATTTACACGTTATTCACGGTAGATGTCAGGATCGGAACTAACAATGTTCACCCGCTACGAGTACTACTGCATTTACACGTTATTCGCGGTAGCTGCCAGGATCGGAACTAACAATGTTCACCCGCTACGAGTACTACTGCATTTACACGTTATTCACGGTAGATGTCAGGATCGGAACTAACAATGTTCACCCGCTACGAGTACTACTGCATTTACACGTTATTCACGGTAGATGTCAGGATCGGAACTAACATTGTTCACCCGCTACGAGTACTACTGCATTTTCACGTTATTCACGGTAGATGTCAGGATCGGAACTAACAATGTTCACCCGCTACGAGTACTACTGCATTTACACGTTATTCACGGTAGATGTCAGGATCGGAACTAACAATGTTCACCCGCTACGAGTACTACTGCATTTACACGTTATTCACGGTAGATGTCAGGATCGGAACTAACATTGTTCACCCGCTACGAGTACTACTGCATTTTCACGTTATTCACGGTAGATGTCAGGATCGGAACTAACAATGTTCACCCGATACGAGTACTATAGCATTTACACGTTATTCACGGTAGATGTCAGGATCGGAACTAACATTGTTCACCCGCTACGAGTACTACTGCATTTTCACGTTATTCACGGTAGATGTCAGGATCGGAACTAACATTGTTCACCCGCTACGAGTACTATAGCACTAAAGTACTCACGGAAATGATCTCAGATTTTAAATAAATGCAGTTAATATACAAAATATATAAATATTCAAACAACTCAATTAGTACTAATTGGGCCTTGGCACAAATACAGCGTATCAAAGGTTTTTATGTCTTTTGACACGTAAAAGTGTGTATAAACAAAACAGACTATTGTGAAACTGAGCATAACCAGGTGTTAGTAGATCAAGGTGAATGTCCATGACCTATGACACCTTGACGACAGGTGAAAACAGGTGCTTGAAACCCACGTGCATGTGATTTGTCAGTGGTTAGTGATTTGTGAGTGGCATTGTGGGATAGTGAATCATCGTCAAAATATCAGAACGTAAAAGTAACATATTCCCTTCTTAAACAACAGCTTACATGTCATTATTATTATGTACATAAACATAGCTGTTATATTTATTGTTGTTTTGCTAACTTTTTTTCAGGCTAATTTGCATAATGCCTATAGCCTGTTTCTGCCATGTCAATTTGGACTTAGTTTTATTTTTGAATGTTGAAAGTGCTTACAAATAATTAATTACCTCCTGTAAAGTAAATTTTGTATTGAGCATTGAGATAAAACTAGCAAATCCAGACTAGTACTTTTCCAGTTGTTTTGTTATTTCGTTTTTACATCTACGTAATGCTTTGTGTCGATTATTAAATCCAGCAAAACAGTTTTTTTTCATTTCCATGAGTACTTTAACACGTTATTCACGGTAGCTGCCAGGATCAGAGCCAACAAGGGATCTTGTAACTGTGTGGCCGAGTTGTCTAAGGTGCAGCTATTGTACGTGCATACCAGCTGGTCGTCGGATCGAATCAAGTATATTAATCTGTCATCATGTTCACAGTACTTTGTGGTTTCACCAGTATTATATAAACATTTTCGTCTTGTCTGTCACTTATAAACAACTAAAGTTATGTAAAACTGACTCCCTCACTCACTCCAATAGCATGTTTCCTTTGAATAATGCCAACTCATCTGCACGATAACGCGCCATCCTTGCCCAGGAAGGAAGATTTACAGATTTTACAGGCGCATCCATCGATAGCATTCACAAGCTGTGGACTCTCAGACATCATCGCCCTCTTGGGACTACCCCGATGGCTGTAGGATAGCGGTAATAACGTGATTCCCCCATTCGCATTTGTAGAAATTAATACTGAAAAACGGGTTGTACTTATCTTTATCTACTGTATATCTATCTTTATATAGATATATAACACTCGCCGCCAAAAGAAACGCGAATACCATACATGTTTGTGAATATATGAAGATATATTCATATTTAACAGATATTTGTTTGGCTCGATGCACAAGCGAACATACAGATATGTTCTGTGAACCGATGCCCATGGACGCATCACCTGTGACGTCATAGATCCACGATTCGAGATGCATCATTTGTCCCGTGCAGGACTAGCGTGTGAAGTTAGTGCAGCATATCGTGATAAGAATAAAGACACTCTGTGGTAACACTTGACTGATTGTAAGTTTTGATATACATTGACCCCTTCTTAACGAGCATATATGTTTTTCTGGTTCGCGTTTCTTTTATTTTGGCGGTGAGTATATATATATCTATATATATCTATATCTATATCTATATCTATATCTATATTGATCCTGAATTGATTCGAATGTATTATTTACAAGTACTTCCATTTCAACTAATTCAGAACAGAAGGCTTAGCGAATGGTTAAATAAGTATGTATCATTAAAATATCAATGTTTCATTTGCATATGCATAATTCGCATAATCTACATCATGCCATAGCCATACCATTGTACCATCGACTGTTGCAATAGCCATACCACAATCAATGGTTCTCTCGAAACATGGGGCCCTGTTGTTTTTAGGTTCACTCTTGTCTCCAGTCACAGTTCATCTTCCGTCTCCCCTTCATCCCTCTCCTCCCCACCCCTCCCCCCTCCCCCTTCACTTAGTTCCAGGGACGGAAAGCTCCCCCTCCCGGAATCATCCATTGTTTTGAGCGTGTCCCGATCTGGCTCCTTGTCGGCCACTGCTGGGTCCACTTCAGTCGGCTTGTCCATCAGGTCGTGGAGAGTCAGGGCTTCCAGACCATCGTCCATTGGGTCAACACCAGGGTCAGACACGTGGTCACCTGTGTCCGAGTCATCACGAGGGCCAATCTTACCTGTAATGGATATTGTAATATATTGCATAATTATACAATCGAGATTGGTATATTTGCCTACACACGTTTTATGATTGAGCATGTTTGATTTTACGCCGATGTTAATTTGTTTGTTTGTTGTTTAACACCGCACTCAGCAATATTCCAGCGATATGACGGCGGTCTGTAAATAATCGAGTCCGGACCATACAATCCAGTGATTGATTTCTTGAGCATCGATCCACGCAACTGGGATACGATGACATGCATGGGCGGATACAGCTTTTTTGAAAAGGGGGGGGGGGGGTGCACAATTAAGATCTATTTATTGTCTTTGGTGGTAATTTATACAGAAATATAGATTTTTTTTCGAAATAAAAAGGGGGGGGTGCGCAAACAACGAAGCCTAGTGATTAAAGCGTTTGGTCCGTCTCACAGGGTTCGATTCCACTCGTGGGTACAATGGCGTCATAAACTGGTGGTTCTATACTTTGTACCAAGTGTGGAATAGAGCCAGGTCTTCTGTGTGATGAGGCCAGCGTGTGTATTCACCACTTGACCAACCTACCGCCCCTACCTCAGATTTGACTTGGGTATCATTTGACCCATTATATGATACTTCATAGCTTTGTGGGAGATTTCAACGGCAATAGATATAGAACCACTCCGTACCATCCAGCTGTTGTTGGCAGTTTTCTACCTTGCTTCCGCCGAGCCTGGTAAGCAGAAGAAACGTTGTGTTCTTATCATGTCAGAATCAGTGAGTTTCACACAGGATCAGCTGGTTATTGAATAAGTATTACCATGCATTGAGACGTGTGTGTAGGTGGGTGTCCAGACATAACCACCAACAACACAATAACAAACACAGACGCCCACGCCCACGCCCACGCCCACGCCCACGCCCACGCCCACGCCCACGCCCACGCTATGCCCACTTTCACGCCCACGTCAACGTGATGCCTAATTCACACCCACGTCAACGCCATGCGGGGCGGTCGTGTAGCCTAGTGGTTATGCCTAAAACCATATTCACTCACTCAACGCCATGCCCACATCCCCGCTCACATCAGCACCATGCCAACGCCACGCCCACATCCACACCCTCGTCAACACCACGCCATGCCCACATCCACATCCACACTCACGCCAACGCCATGCCCACATCCCCGCTCACATCAACACCATGCCAACACCACGCCCACATCCACACCCTCGTCAACACCACGCCATGCCCACATCCACAACCACGCCACATCCACACCTGCGTCAACACCCACGCCATGTTCACATCCACATCCACATCCACATCCACATCCACACTCACGCCAACGCCATGCCCACATCCTCGCAAATATCTTCGTGCAATCACCCATCCATGTTAAATCCACACACACACACACACCCCACCACCCCCCACCCCACCCTACCCACACACACATACCCACACCCACGTCAACGCCCAGCAGACAGATCCACCCATTACCCAAATTATTTCCCCACCTCTCTACAGCCCAAGCACCACCCATCACCATTCAGAACCGGCACACCAGAGTGTGGAAACTCGCCACTATACCGCACTGGTTACCTTCCGGTGAGGATGAGGACTGCAGGGATTAGGATGATGACCATGATGCCGCCCTCCACAGCCGCCAGTATCGCCAGCACCTTCTCCTCTACACCGGCGTTCTCCTGCACTGTACAAGGGGCAGACAACACTGAATACGGACGGCAAAAATTTATCGTTTTTAGTTGTTCCTTCTGAAATGTCAAATCATTGCGTAAAAGTGACTGTAAGTTTTGCACTTCAGACATGGTAAAATATACAACTGTGGAAAAAATGAGTGAAACAGATTTTTAAAACTACAAATGAAAATCTAAATATGAGCTAGTCCCTTACCCATTTGACCATATGCAGTAATTGTGCTTCGAGAGCTGATAAAAAAAGTTCCAAGTCTAACTAAGAAAACCTTTTTGGCCAGCCCTCGTATATGCATACATCTCTCTCAACATGGGACGAAGACTAGCTCATGTTTGAACAAATACATGCATTCGAAAAAACTTCCATGGAAACCTAAACAATCAGGTTTCTTGACACATTTTATCCTTTCATATGTATTTCGTGTTGTTGGTTACAAACACGCAATTGTTGAAATAAGCAAAGTTCACTTGCCTTTTATGTGAATATATCTGATAATTTTTACAACAATTTCTTAAGGTTGTGCTTAATTCTTTAATAAAGCAGATGTGGACTAAAAGCGACCCTTTTCCTGCCTCGTACTTTGGATATTCTTCTGAGCCTTAACTGACATCTAGTGACCTGATGGCATGCTAAAGATGTGGTATGTCAGATTTGAACAGTATTAATCAAGGCAATTCCCAATTTTGCGATCTGCATCCCGTGCTTACAGGTCGGATTCCCAGATTAGCCATGATTAAGATTTTCTATTGATTAGCACCATGGCCCTATTCTTTGGTTTCACTAAGTGAGTGAGTGAGTGCGTGAGTGTGTGAGTGCATACATGAATATTGCTAAACGCCGCTTAAACAATATTGCAGCGACTCACTCACTCACTGTGTACCATGTTTCACCTGTTTCACCGTCATCCTTTTCAGTCACACACTGAACCGGCGCGGCTGTGACGTGTTGATGGGTTGGCCGAGCTGAAGATGGCACAGTGGGTGTTGTAGTTGGTGTTGTTGCAGTGTTCGTTGTAGTTGTAGTTGTGGTAGTGGTGGTCGTAGGCATCTCACAAAGCTCATTTTCAAATACTACCGTGCATGATGACGTCTTTTCCGGCGTTCCCTGATCCGTCGCTATGACGGTCAAACTGGGCGGAAAGCTTTCGGACGCGTTGTCTTTCGTAGACACATAGAGGCCCCAGGAAGAGTTAATCTGTTCTATGTAAAAGTAGGACTCATTGTATGAGAAGTGTAAAGATATGTTTGAACGAAGATCCCTGTCGGAGACGTTGAAGTGGTCGACTAGATGACCAGCAGACAAGGACGATTGGACGTGATGTATAGTCCGTTCAAACACAGGAGGGTACTCGTTTTCCTCGGTAACGTTAACCGTCAGCATCCCATATATGACGTTATCACCGTCAGAACACCCGACCTTCAGGACATAAAATGCTGATCCGCTGTTCACGTGATCTCTGTCTAGTGTAGTAGTTGTCACGTGGTCTCTACCTAGAGTAGTTGCAGTCACGTGATCTCTGTCTAGAGTAGGGTCTGTCACGTGATCTCTGTCTAGAGTAGTGGCTGTCAGGTGATCTGTGTCTTGAGTAGTGGCTGTCAGGTGATCTCTGTCGAGAGCAGTGGCTGTCACGTGGTCTCTGTCTAGAGTAGTGGCTGTCACGTGGTCTCTGTCTAGAGTAGTGGATTTCATGTGATCTCTGTCTAGAGTAGTGGCTGTCACGTGATCTCTGTCTAGAGTAGTGGCTGTCACGTGATCTCTGTCTAGAGTAGTGGCTGTCACGATGGTGCCGGTTTTCGGATTTATTTCAAACACACCAAGGACATTTTCATTTTTATCTGAAAAAGTAACAAAATCGTTTATCCTTTGACGTTTTGTTTTCGGTGATCCATTGATATAATTGTTACTTTCTGCGATTATAGGAATCTGTTTCGGCGGATAATCGCTCTTTATCATATAATGGGTAGGTTTCTCGGCAGGATAAAGCCAACGGATAAAAACGATATCCGTTGGGGTCATATGCGGATAGAGATGCAAATATCAAAGGTCAAGTAGGGACTACTTTCACTGTTTATAAACAAACATGGCGTCGCCCTTGTCATTCAGGGATCGAGTCAGAATTAACCATCGGGAATCTGGATAAACTACAGGGATAATTGCTATCATTATCAAAAGAACAGTCTAATATACTGAAAATCTGTGTCTAACTGTGACGTAGCTAAGGCATTTTATAGGTTTTGTCAACTTTGGAGATATTAATTTCGAAACAATTTGGCGAGGGCACGAGGCCTAGCCAAGCGGGATCAGTAGCCATATCTGTGCTTGTAGACCTCTGCGGCTTGAAACCTCCTCCACAAATTAAAATAGTTGGATTTGGCGGAAATATGTTTGAATTGTTACCTTGTTTCGTTTTGTCGCTGTGTGTACATCTGACTACACTTCTTATTGTAATGACAGGACAGACCGACTGTCAACAACGTCTGACCGTGGCCGTGACGTCTCATAGACTAGGGTTAGAGTAGCTTCCCTTTGACAAAGGGCAGTTACTCTAGCGGACAGACCGATGGATTGCCGCGAAAGGCAATTAAAAACAATTGTTGTTTTGCGTATATGTTGCTTCGCCACTGTATAAGAAACAGATTTCAGTTGGAACTATATTGGCTACTGTCACTGTCCGACTGACACATCACTTACCCTCAGACGTAATAAATATTAATGCGCGCATTCCAGGAAAACTCGCAATGTTTCGGTAATGTTTGTGAGAGAGGGAAAGCGATTTTGAAGCACAGAATTAAAGAATGACATTATATGATAAAGAGGTTATCACGCTTGTGTGTTTGGGGATGGTAAATATCCTGTATTAGGAATAAACACTATGTATTTAGCTCGCCAAGGCTCGCTAAATACAATGTTTATTCCTAATGCAGGATATTTACCATCCCCAAACACACTCGCGGGATAACCTCTATATGTGTGTTGACTTTTTTATATTCACGTCGGTAAACTAGGGAATAATAGATTTTACGTCAAGACAATTATCCAGAGGCCAAACATCAGACAGTAATCCGTGTGCGTGACTAGAAACAAGTAACACCACTGATACTCCTTTAACTCGATCTAGTGTTGAGACTATTTATAAATTAATGGCATAAATTTCTTCTCATTTTCCCGAGGCAAGGGAGTTAACTGACTATAGTAGTCCAATTTCCACCCTTGCCGAACGAGGCTGGAATTATGGAGTTCTATTTTTTTCTGGACTAACCAGTCTGTGCATAGTCCAATCAAAATCGTGTAACAAATCGAAAATTGCCATGCAGATAGCGGTCGATTGCAGGTCGAAAACATGTGTACAGCCAACTCTGCGTCAACAGAAATTTTCCCAATCTTTTCATGTTTTTAAACAATTTGCTCAAGTGGTCTGATGCACTTCGCGAAAACCCGTTTTCTTACAATATAAATTGTGATTATTGATTATATCGTCTTGACTTGGCGCTGCCTTTTTGATTGAAGCAAATGCAAGTGATATGAGAGGTGGAATCAGATTGGTCAATAGGATGGACATAGAAGGGTCATAACTCGTCATAGCCGCTGGTGGCGCTACGGTCGAGCCAAGAAATTCCAGCCCAGTTCGGCAAGGGTGGAAACTGGACTTTTTAAGTCCTTTGCCTAGGAAGATGATTATTTCTGTTTTGCACAATGGTGTAATATCGGCACTTATGGACTACAGAGAACATTATATATTTTCCATGGCCCCGTATGTCTGAGTTAACGCATTAAACTGTACAGTAGCCAGTTAAACATAAAACACATGGAAGAAAGAAAACTCCCTACACCACCTTACCTACCTGTGTATGTGCTTGCGATACTGTACACCAAGTTACTGTGATGTGCGGAGTCTCTGTCAGTGGCACTCATCGTATACACGTGGGTCCCAATGTTGGCTGTCTCGGGTAGCACTTGCGCCGGGAATATGAACGTGTTTATTCCTCTGGGACCAGTCACGCCGTCAGTGGTTCCAGTCTTGTCACCCTCAATATTCGTTTTATTTACCGTCTTTATGTTATCGCCGTTGGTACTGTGACCTTCAATGTTAACGGTGACGTTGACAGTGGCGGTGGCACTAGGAGGTGTGGTGGTGTTGATGTTGTTTCCTGAAGTGGTCAAGGTAGTCTGTCTGTTTGTATTGTTTCTCGTGTTAAGGTCTACAGTGTTGGCGAGGGCTTTCGTAACGGCATTGTCTCCCGGAACTGTCGTCTCTTTGGAGGTGACGGTGACACCAGACGGGAAGACAATGCTTGACGCGTTCCAGCGAGGGATGAACTCGTTGCGGGGTTGAACCTGAATATGCAATCATTTCAATGAAACCCCTAAATCTGTTAATTATTATATAATGACATTAAAACACACTCCACTTCGTTTCTAATATAAGAACAATATCATTAAAACGATCGTATGTACTCTCCTAGGCCATGTGCAGGAACACATATATTTCCCAATTACACTTTTACCGCCAGGGACAATTACACATTCATTGAATTTATATGTTTCCACAAGTTCTTTCAAGGAAAAATAAGAAAAAGAAGATGATGAAGATTGTTATTTTTTGTATTACATATATACACAATGACAGAACACAATATACAACAGAGCATTGTAATATCCGGCCGCTAAGGCACACGAAACAACTGATCATATATCCAGAGAATCTACTTCCTTCTTACATTATATACATTAGTAGCTTGTTTTTGCAGCTATGGTACAGTCTCTAGACAGGAAAACCGCATTTTTAAATCCAAAATAGCATGGTTACAGTCAATCGGCCAAATCACAACTAATTTAAAAGCATTTATTCCGTACTCGTCGACACAGTTACAGTAAAGATACAGCTACTTGCTGTTGGGTTTTGTCCCTTTAGCGTAACAGGATACCTTGCTTTTTAGAATATCGCTATTAGTGAATGCCATCTGTTAACTTACCCTTTGAATCAAACTCACTCACTCACTCGCCCACTTGTTTAAGATACCGAGAATAGTTTCAACACTGAAGTTCTCACGATAGTTCTCTGAGATACATATGTGTCATAAGCTTCAAACCGACGTGCTTCTTGTGTGATACTGATACATATGTGTCATAAGCTTCAAACCGACGTGCTTCTTGTGTGATACTGATACATATGTGTCATAAGCTTCAGACCGACGTGCTTCTTGTGTGATACTGATACATATGTGTCATAAGCTTCAAACCGACGTGCTTCTTGTGTGATACTGATACATATGTGTCATAAGCTTCAAACCGACGTGCTTCTTGTGTGATACTGATACATATGTGTCATAAGCTTCAAACCGACGTGCTTCTTGTGTGATACTGATACATATGTGTCATAAGCTTCAGACCGACGTGCTTCTTGTGTGATACTGATACATATGTGTCATAAGCTTCAAACCGACGTGCTTCTTGTGTGATACTGATACATATGTGTCATAAGCTTCAGACCGACGTGCTTCTTGTGTGATACTGATACATATGTGTCATAAGCTTCAAACCGACGTGCTTCTTGTGTGATACTGATACATATGTGTCATAAGCTTCAAACCGACGTGCTTCTTGTGTGATACTGATACATATGTGTCATAAGCTTCAAACCGACGTGCTTCTTGTGTGATACTGATACATATGTGTCATAAGCTTCAAACCGACATGCTTCTCGTGTGATACTGATACATATGTGTCATAAGCTTCAAACCGACGTGCTTCTTGTGTGATACTGATACATATGTGTCATAAGCTTCAAACCGACGTGCTTCTTGTGTGATACTGATACATATGTGTCATAAGCTTCAAACCGACGTGCTTCTTTTGTGATACTGATACATATGTGTCATAAGCTTCAAACCGACGTGCTTCTTGTGTGATACTGATACATATGTGTCATAAGCTTCAAACCGACGTGCTTCTTGTGTGATACTGATACATATCTGTCATAAGCTTCAAACCGACGTGCTTCTTGTGTGATACTGATACATATCTGTCATAAGCTTCAAACCGACGTGCTTCTTGTGTGATACTGATACATATCTGTCATAAGCTTCAAACCGACGTGCTTCTTGTGTGATACTGATACATATCTGTCATAAGCTTCAAACCGACGTGCTTCTTGTGTGATACTGATACATATGTGTCATAAGCTTCAAACCGACGTGCTTCTTGTGTGATACTGATACATATGTGTCATAAGCTTCAAACCGACGTGCTTCTTGTGTGATACTGATACATATGTGTCATAAGCTTCAAACCGACGTGCTTCTTGTGTGATACTGATACATATCTGTCATGAAAATGTCAAATCAAGTATGTACATTTTAGTTTGTTATATTATTTGTATTTGACTTGTAATACAATACGTTATATCTTAGCAATAAGAGGCGAAACATGTCCCTACAATGGAAGACGACCATACAAACAAAGTCAAAGTAAAACAACGACACCAATACCTGAGAACAAACCTGTATAACAGCGACGACAATGTCTTAGAACGAACCTGTAAAACAAAGACAGCAATGCCTGAGAACGAACCTGTAAAACAACGAAGGCAATGCCTGAGAACGAACCTGTAAATCAACGACACCAATTACCGAGAACGAACCTGTAAACAACGACTCCTGTGCCTGAGAACAAACCTGTAAAACAACGACACCAATAACTGAGAACGAACCTGTAAACAACGACACCAATAACTGAGAAAGAACCTGTAAACAACGACACCAATAACTGAGAAAGAACCTGTAAACAACGACACCAATAACTGAGAAAGAACCTGTAAACAACGACACCAATAACTGAGAAAGAACCTGTAAACAACGACACCAATAACTGAAAACGAACCTGTAAACAACGACACCAATAACTGAGAATGAACCTGTAAACAACGACACCAATAACTGAGAAAGAACCTGTAAACAACGACACCAATAACTGAGAACGAACCTGTAAACAACGACACCAATAACTGAGAACGAACCTGTAAACAACGACACCAATAACTGAGAACGAACCTGTAACACAAAGACACCAATAACTGAGAACGAACCTGTAAACAACGACACCAATAACTGAGAAAGAACCTGTAAACAACGACACCAATAACTGAGAAAGAACCTGTAAACAACGACACCAATAACTGAGAACGAACCTGTAAACAACGACACCAATAACTGAGAACGAACCTGTAACACAAAGACACCAATAACTGAGAAAGAACCTGTAAATAACGACACAAATAACTGAGAAATAACCTGTAAACAAAGACACCAATAACTGAGAACGAACCTGTAACACAAAGACACCAATAACTGAGAAAGAACCTGTAAACAACGACACCAATAACTGAGAACGAACCTGTAAACAACGACGCATGTGCCTGAGAACGAACCTGTATAACGACGACGGAAATGCCTGTCTTTGCCGGCCCAGTTGTTGAATTGTCCTTAGCTTTCAATACCAGCGAGTAGGTCTGGTCCCTCGACTCGTACTCCTCGTAGTCACAGGTCCCAGCCTCTAGTCTCAGAGTCAGTCCTTCCAACCAAAACCGGCAGTCGTTGGCGTCTCGGTCGTGGATGGTGACGCTCACCTCGCCGTTGCCTCCCACGTCTAGATCACCCACAGTCAGGTTCAAGACGGCCGTATCTACAGCGAAAGTGGTCAAAGAAATAATATATCAGTGACACAATTTTAAAACAAATACACTGTGTGTCATGTAACCGGCCCTCAAAGTTAACCTTGATTTCACTCGTGTTCTTTAGTGGCCTCACAAGTTCGGGAATGCTTGTGTCTGAACAACATGGAGACCTTTTGGGATCCGGGACATAATGGCAGGCTTTTATTTAACGTTCCTAACTTATCCGTGTTGTCTCGTATCGTGACGATCCGGGGTAGAATAGGTCTTCAGCAACCCATGCTTGCCGAAACAGACGACTGTGCTTGTCGTGAGAGGCGACTAACGGGATCGAGTGGTCAGGCTCGCTGACTTGGTGGATCCATGTCATTGTTCCCCAATTGCGTGGACCAATGCTCATGATATCAATCACTGCACTGTCTGGTCCAAACTCGATTATTTACAGACCGCCGTCATATGGCTGGAATATCGCTGAGTACGGCGTTAAACAACAAACAACATTATTGCATTGATATTCTTCCACGAACCTGCTGTACTGTTCTCCGTGACGTTGATGATGTACACGGAGGATGAGAACGTTGGGTAGTTGTCGTTTATATCTGTTACAGTAACAGATAGATTCTGTGTGCGAGTATTGCCCGCAAGATCAGTTACGACGAGAGATACATTGAGTGATTGTCTGCCACCTCCGCCGTCTCGGTCGAGATGTCGTGCCATGGTGATGTCGGTGCCGTTCACGACACTGAAGTAATCTCGGTCAGGCCCTGTGGTAACATTAACAGTCGTGGATCAGTTACAGACGTCTAAATACTCCAGGGATCATATCAACCCTATCTTGCTCTATGATTAATCAAAAGTTTTCTTTTTTTCGGTGATTTAAAGTATAATGATACTCAAGGGACCAGATATCGGGTCCATGGTATAGAATATTTACACATTAAGATTTGAACATATTCAAATTTTCAACATATGCCAAGGACTGTTTGTGTTCTTTACACAATATAAGTATAGATCCCAAACATTATTGCTGCTGTAAACTTTACCAATAAGTTGATAAGATGAATGAATTATGCATATCATTCGCTCAGATTTAACACCAGACAAATACCTTTTCCAGTACAATACGTTCTACTTTTGTGACGATGCATTGTTTTTAAAGGGGCACTGATCTAACGCAATTCCCCGGACTGGTTGTTGCCTTTGTTATTGTTTTTTTCCCCGTGAGTACCCGGATGATACGCAACGCAACTGAGCGTGACCAGAGACTGGGCTACCGTCTGCAAGGACGGCTAAATAAACTTGGAGGCTGGAGGCAATATTTGTTTTACGCATTTTTGCATAAACACTGATTGGTTAACTGTGATCTATAAAGATTTCGACAAAGGGCGCATGTTAATTAATTTCTTCGGCCTAAACAAACAGACAAAAAGAACAGCGGAGCTCATCGGATGTCGTCATTTGGAAATACCCAAGAAGGTTATAGTTTAATACTAAAAAAAGTATCCATGCAGTGAAAGCATTTTCGGATTTCGGCTTGCGTCGATAATACGATTACTACTCCCTTGTTGTCATCCACGTTTTCTCGTATAACCCTACACTTGTGTATTTGTCGTCATTCACTTGATGCTCAGTTAATGAATTTATTACAGGAACAATTAGTGGTAGCACCACTTAGATTACCTGACAAAGGTTCCCATTTGGCATTTATTGTGTCTGGGGTAATTATTCAATCTAAATCCAGGTTTGAAGTGAGGTGAAATGAGTGTTATGTAATATGCACGTGGCAGCCCAGCAAGAGATGAATGATCAGTTGATTTTGTTGTTGTTGTAAATCAACGGATCGTTCCTAGTCATCAAAGTATTAACAGAAAATACGTTGATTGATTAATCACTGTTATCTTGCACAGTGGATATGTCAAGAGTGAGTGTTTACATGTCTAGGTTTACTAAAACAAAGGGAATACACTCATATCATGGCGTGAAGTGCCGATGTAAAAACAACATACTTTGTTCAAAGGGTTAACTGATAATACGTTGATTGATTGATCATTGTTATCTATCACTCAATTGATTTTTTAGGAACCGTGGACGTTATGAAAATAGTTGTCACGTGGGCTTTCTCAGCCGACCATTGAGACTTGGCACCTATGTAAAACACCCGAAACAATCCAAGTGATCAGTTGAGAAACGAACACAGGTTATAATATCCCGAAACGATATATATCTTTTAAAATATTTGATTGTTACTGAGACACGTGACATCGAATAAGTGTCTTTGTACAGCTGCAGACGAGTGGGATATTGTTCCTTTGTGTGGATATTCACGGATACATTCCTCGAACAAGGAAGCTGCCTAAAATTTATACACATAAATTTGGTAGGTTGTAATTATGATATTTGCATTTTGTTTTCCTTCACTTGAACCGATTCGTTCTTGTTTCTCTACGTCTTGGTTGGGAAATTCTTCAATGCGCGATAGAGGTTGTTTTCACAGGTCTTTTCCTTTGTAAGCGTGTATATATTACCGTCAATTTGTAAAGTGTGATTCACTCAGGCAATTTATAAAATGTGTAAATATTTCAGTCATTTTGACTAAAAAATCTGTCCAGATTGATTAAGACGATCAAAAGGGCCTACAAACATAACAACAGATTATCATGTAGGATTAGAAGCCAAACAACATAGAAATGTACTTTTCAACGTAACATTTTCAGTCTCTTGGTGATGACATTAAACATCAAAATGTTTGGATACGTTATCATAATAATACAGATGGAAATGTTTTTCAGTCACTTTGTAAAATAACTGAATATTTAGACGTTTAATAAATTTGTTACACATTTGACAGTAAAAAAATATAAACACTATAAAAAAAGCAATGCTCAGGTGAAATATTTACTTTGTGTTGCAAGTCAAAATAGTGTAAACGAAAATCACAAAATTACCAAGCAAGTGACTTATCAAAACTTCGTCACCATTACCGATGCTACCCACAAAGATACCTACATTTCCTTATTATCTGGAAAACTGTATTTCATTTTGTTGATCAATGTGACCATACGCCCTTATTACTACCCATAAAAGTGACTAATGCGCTTACGAATGGCGCAGCAGAGGTCGCGAACTAGTCTAGATTTCTGCTATACATCCGGGTACTCACTGGGAAAAAACAATAACAAAGGCAACAACCAGTCCCGGGGAATTGCGTTAGATCAGTGCCCCTTTAATAGATGGTAGTAGTGAAAGAAGCGTCATAAAATATCACTGCTACTCTGCAGTTGTGTATCACGCATTTTCATCAAGCATCCACATTGTGTGTGTTTCAATAAATAAAATCCTTGCTTGAGAATACAACTAAAAAATGGTGCACAATTGATCGATATTTGAATGTAGCGGTTTCTGAGTTAGTGTTGAGACGAAAAAGGCAAGCGTTTTTCAAATATGGAAATTAGGCAAACTAAAGCAGAGTTGCTTCCCTTTTCTAATGGCATACCATAAATTTGTTTGAAACGGATTATTGTTTTCCATGGTTTGACATGTTGATGCTGGAGAATTGCTGGCAGTTAAAACAATATTTTTTTCTTTTCTGTTTGTTTAACGAAAGTGTAAGGTGAGACCGGAGGCAGGTGAGCAACAAGTGTTTGACTGAAGTTTTCTTTTTAAAAAAAGGTCATTAGTTGACACGCATGGTCATCACCTGTCATTCACCTCAATGTTTCAGACAGAGGTTGTTCCCACCTTTTAACATTCTCCATCTCATAATCTCGTACCATAGGACTACCGACGACAGTTGTCTGACGGTGTCTTTATATGATAAAAATTAAACATCACGTTTTATGTTTTTGAATAAAAGATCAAATACATATACATGAAAGTCAGCAAACGTGAAATAATTAATATTAGTAGTGGTTCTGCTTCTGTAAAGGCTCTACACCTCTACGCGCAACTACATGCATAAATACATTGCCGAGAAATATGTTTTGACGTCACCAGGATGTGTGTATATGAAAACCACACTGTCAGTAGCGTTTCAATCAAAGGTCTTCCTGTGAAACAATATGTCCATTGAATATTTTAATGTGCCTTTTCTGAAAACAGTTAAATATTACTATATATTTAACTATGTCAAGGCACCAGTGTTAATGTGCACGAATCGTGTGTTTTACTCAAAAGAAAGCTATCAACGCTTTGCCTTCAACGGTGATGTTGTAGTCATCTCCCACATCAGCGTCAGAGACGACACACGGAAATGCGACGTTGATACCAACAGGGCACTCCTCCGGAAGCTCTACGACGTCATTACACACGACTTCCGGTGTCTCGTCGTTGACGTTTTGAACGATGACCTTGACACTCAGCGTTACAGCCTCGCTTGTTCTGAGGAGAAACACGTCCACACTTTAAAGTGTTATGTAATATTTGTAGCAAGTCTTGAACTCATTGTACGAAAAAGTATTTGAACATAATTCACCATCTGAATATGATTTGCTTCGAGCTCAGTTTTGTTTGTTGTTTAACGCCGCACTCAGCGGCCTGTAAATAATCGAGTCTGGACCCGATAAGCAAGTGATTGATATCATGAGCATAAATTCACGCATTTTGGATACGGTGACATGCACCAACCAAGTCAGCGAGTCTGACCACCCGATGCCATCAGTCGCCTCTTACGACAAGCATGCGTTGCTGGATACCAATTCTAACCAGTATCGGGGCGGTCGGATAGCCTAGTGGTTAAAGCGTTCGCTCGTCACGCCGAAGACACGGGTTCGATTCCCGACATGGGTACATTGTGTGAAGCCCATTTCTGGTGTCCCCCGCCGTGATATTGCTGGAATATTGCTAAAAGAGGCATAAAACCAAACTCACTCACTCACCCACTCTAACCAGTATCATCACGGGTTGACCATTAATGACATAACTGAGAACGTTACTCGACTATTATAGCCCATGAGAACCCATGAGAACCCATGAGAACTCACAGCTAAAACATATTTCACCACTGTTACAGTCCCGAATATCTCCAAAGTGATGCAAATAATCAGATACATACCTTCAAGAATGTAATAATAAATACAATTTATTTGATGACTACGTAACACTGTATAACCACATTCTGATAAAGCGCCTTATGATCTATAACTGCAACACATCACAGGATACTGTTATTATAAAGTAAAGTGGGAGTGCGTTAACATTTAGAATCTCTTTCATCAGTATCTCGGCCATGTGATGTTTTTGAATCAAAATACGCAAAAGGTTTACAACTGTCTTATAGAATGAATGTATACATACAACAATCTGATCATGTGAAGACATTGTCTCTCATAGTCCAGCATGGCGATCGTCTTGAGCGCCGCGTCATTCACAGCGAAATACTGTGAACTAATATTGCCCAAAACCTCCGTGGTGATGTTCAGATCGGGTCGTGTGGTGGTGATGTTGACGATGACGGTGCCGATAGGCGTATTCTCACTCAATTCCACTATAGTGGCGCCATCTGGCGACGGAGTCAGAAACTTGGCAGAAGCATCTTCTGTTAGAAGGACACGTTGTAGATTAATACCAGTGTTTAGTTATAGGCAAAGCTTGGTAAAAAGAGATACGCGATAGAAGAAGCTTTATTTAAGTCTAATATTATAGTACAAAGAACATTATCCATAACGATGCTATTATATAAGTAATGTGGATATAACTCACCTAATATAAAGGTCCAGTTTGCATGTTTTTCGCTGCTGATATACGCAAAGTGAATGTCAGTTAAGTTGCCGTCTTTGAGATCGAGGAAGGTTCTCTCTTCGACCACGTGACCTTGTCCTATTCGGATTGGTCCATCCGGGTCCCAAGCTGCCCAAAACTTGTGTTTGACGTTGCAGGACTGCAGAGCTTCCAGAGGGAAGATGGTGGCAGGTTGACACTTCATACAGTCCACAGTGATCATGTTGATGGCATCCGCGATAATCACCATATAAAAGTGGCGGTTCTTTGCACTGCCCAAGCGGGCTGTATTGGCCAATGTCAGGAATACGTTTGAGGAACATGTGGTTATTTCGAACAAGAGCGAATGGCGGCCCGTGATTGTTATACCTCTATTGTCCAGCAGTATCGTTGAACCTGGCTTGGTTTGAATGTCTACACGTTTACCTATGTAACAGTAAACAGCGCATTGTTATGTATTCCCCAAACAATCGTACTATGACAGTGTTCAAATGTGTAGTCAGTCAGTTGGCCAGGGGTGAAAAACAAGATTTTCTTTCCCACATTTTCCTGTATACCTTCAACCTTTTCTATTGCATAAAGAAGGAGTCTGTACACATTTGCCACTGGGTAGTAAGCTTGGAAGTGTGTGCATGAATTTTTAACAGGGTCATAATTGCATAAATTGAAGGGAAAATGCATAATTTGACAAAATTGATTGTAACATTTTTATGAAGTCATTAAACTATCCAAATTATGCCTTTGATTACAGGCAATATGTTCGGTTATATAAATTTGGCAAACAGTTTGTTTCATTTGACTGTTATTCTAATTCTCAGAGAAACCATTGATAACAATACCTGTAAACGTTTTCTTGGAGTACAGCATCAGCGTCAAATTTTAGCGTTCTTTGTCAAACTTGAAATAAAATTCGACAGCGACAATTGGCACTTGTCAAACTTCATTTAACGCAAATGCACTTGCAGGTTCTCCTTGAATAATAATACATCTTAATTTGTCTGAATATGAAAACTATGCTAGGTGTCACAACAACTTACTTATAGCTCCAGTGAAAAGAATAAGTAGTGTCACGCATGATTCTAGGTATCTCATCTTTGCAGGTCCTTGATTGTGTGACGTCACGTGTATGGAGTTGCCTTGGTGATACAGTGCGCTGCATCTGGAGGGCATCACATACTGTACTTACTCAAGAGCGTAAAGATTGAATGTTTTATCTAAGAACTTTGCAATACATTTATAAAAATATGTTTGCAGAAATAACTTGCAGAAATTTCAAAAATGCATTCTCAAGTCATTCTATCTGAAAGTAAGTTAATGCTTTTTTTACGACAAGTCGCGAATAGTAGCGTCTAAAGTAAAGTGGGATAATTACCTAACCTTAATTAACCAATGATTTCACTTCATTGTGACCCTGTTGATTGACCTCACAGTACTATATGACGTCATTGACGGAATGTGGATGGAGGTTTATAATTGAGGGAAATACTCAAACTTTTAGCACACATTGCATACGTACACGTGGAAAGTTGGATGATTTTTAATCTACGTTTAATCCATGTGTGGTTAAGATAGGGTTTTTTTTAAAATAGGTACCATCATATAAACAAAACGCTCAGCATCGTGATTGATTTGCCTCCATGCGAGAATTCGGTGCGAGTAAATAAGTGCGATAAATTAAAGCGCTTTGATTTAAAAAAAATGCCTATGAAGTTTTGGATTCAAACCATCAACAACGTCTCTGCTTCAGGACTGAATGGAGAGGTGAAAAAGAGGCGAGGATATTGTCAACACTTCACTGATTGTCTTGTGTACTTACGTGCACTTTATACGCAGTCAGCCCTGGCCTAGGTCTGTGGTTTACGAATCTAAACGAATATTTCGCATGCTGATGGCATATTTGTTGTCATGGCCCTGTGTTAAATATTAACAGTGTATTTCTTTTTAATAATTCAGTTGCGTATCCACCTAGTGATATGCAGAAGGGGCAGTATATATCAGTCTCAGGTTTCAGGATAAATATACGAGAAGACGAATGATTGTATATTTCTGTCATCTCTACAAATGAATATAAACATCGAAAATGAGACAATTATGTGACTATGATTCACTAAGACTAAGACAAATAACCGATGCACAGAACCCTAAATAATTGTAATTGTGTTACAAACCCAACGACGACAAGTCCGAAGATTTTTGTGAATCCGTACATTTGTTAATCCGAGGATTTTGTTAATCCGGACATTTCTTAAACCAGACACTTGTTAATCCGGACCGTATTCCTGCACCTCCGTCCAGAATAACGGGGTGTCACCGTTGTATAATGTGCTTAAAAAAGTAAATGTGCTTCATATACTCATACGCAAAAGAAACGCAAGTGGTTTTAAGCAAATATGTAACAAACACGGCACCATAAATTGATACGAGTTTTAGCATGTAGTGAAGCCTGATGGTGTTATCAATATTTTTGGTTGCATTTTGGAAGCCCCGAGTAAAAACGCAACATAAAAAGCGAATCGCCAAAACGCGCCATGTCCATGAATATGTGGGTATCATGCACCCATTTCTCGAGAAATCGAAAATGCACGAACTGTCACGAACTGTAGTTGGTATAAAACTGTGGCCGATTTTTGGACCTTCCACTCCTTGGTCAGCAATGCCACGCCTAACTCAAATTCAGAGAAACCAGGCTATCGAACGTTTGGAAGATGGAGAGTCTGTCCAAGATGTTGCCCGTCATTTCAACGTTAACATAACCACAATTTACCGTCGCCTGCATCGATACAATACTACACAGACCACAGATGACCTTCCTCGGAGCGGTCGTCCTAGGGTCACCACACCTCGACAAGATCGGCAGATTACCCGTCAACACCAGCGACATCCGTTCCTAACTGCAAGTGAAAGTGCTCGACAGACAATAGGAACACATAATCGACACATTAGCCGGGACACTGTGATCCGACGTCTCCGTTCCAACAACCTCAGATGTCGCCGACCAGCACGTCGTCCTGTTCTCCAACCACGGCATTGACAAGCACGACTTCAGTGGGCACAGGGTCATCACAATTGGCATCATCGTGAGTGGAGGCGTGTCATCTTCTCTGATGAAAGTCGCTTTTGTGTCTCCCATGCAGACGGAAAAGTCAGAATTTGGCGGCGTCGAGGTGATCGTTTCGCTGACAGAAACGTTGTGGAAAGGGATCCATGGGGTGGACCTAGCGTCATGATATGGGCAGGGATTGGACTTAATGCGAGACTTGGACCCATGTGCTTTCTGAATGTTGGTCAAGGTCGGAGACACGGCGTCACTGCTCAGCGGTATATCGACCAAGTGATCAGACCCCACGTTGTTCAATTTTTTGCACAACATCAACAAGACATTTTCCAGCAGGACAAAGCTCGTCCCCATGTTGCCATAGCTACCATGGCCTTTCTGCAACAACACAACATCCGTGTTCTACCGTGGCCAGCCATCAGCCCTGATCTGAACCCCATCGAACACTTTTGGGATGAGGTTCAAAGGCGTCTGCACAATGTGCGTCCAGTCCCTACAACTGCCGATGAACTACGCACAGCTGCTCTGGATGTGTGCAGGAGGATCCCTAGTGCCTTCACAAATCGCCTGATCCACTCAATGTACAGGATATGTGTGGCAGTGATCAATGCTAATGGTGGTCACACCAGGTATTGACTGACATTTTGGGTATTGACCCGAAACTGTGTAAGCCCTTAACATTTGAAAAAAACAATTATGTCATCTGCCTTTTCATCCATTAAACTGTCTTCAGTCAAATTTTGTCAATCTTGCCCTATTAGTATTTCTTGTCTTTACTGTTGAAAATAAATAACATGTATACTGCATACTAGCGTTTCTTTTGCGTGTGAGTATATAAAGTGGTATAAATGTTATGTTTTCGAAAATAACAACACAGTATTTTATTCATTCGTCTCATCAGTGTTTTTTCATCAACAAATTCCTCGGTAAAGCCTATACCTTGTAACAGGACAGAGCGACACGCCCTGAAGAGGGGTGTTGCACCCGGTCAAGATGACAACTCAATAAACAATGTCCAATATTGGGTGTCACCACCATTTGCGCTGATACAAGCGAGCGACTGGTTGAAGACACCAAGTGATTGAAAATAGCCTGGGGATGTTGTCAATAAAAGATTGGCCCGACTGAGCTTGCATTACCGCCTGGTTCTGGTCTTTGGTCCATATCATCCCATACATATATCTATGGGGGGCAGGTCCAGAGAAACAGCCGACCATGGCAGTGCAGCAATTTTATGCCTCAATAGGCTGCGTGTGGTTCTGCCATTAATAGAACGATCCAGTCCCGACCAATAAGCCCCGCCAACAAGCTACCGTCCTCGTTTAAGGCGTTAGGGGGGACAACCACTGGCTATTCGCCATGGCGTCACAGCCGGCGAAATTTGAATGCGCGGGCGATGAATTTGGCTTGGGAGTTGAGAACGATAACTGGAAGAGAGGTGTTTAACGTCACGTCAAAGATTATAGCACTTATATAGCGACGTCCATGCACGTGTATGTGTGTGTGTGTGTGTGGCTGCTTTTACTAGCCCGGACTACTGCCGATTGTATAGTGCTGGCACACTGAGATACAATGCCGCAGTTTAACATGAATATCCCACTCAGACACAGTATACTGACTCCAAAACGACCAGTCTTTGTTTTTGCCCCTTAATGCCGAGCGCCAGACAGGATAACAAGAAGTACCATCTTTGAACTTTTTTCGGTATGACAAGGCCGGGGATCGAACCCCGGACCTTGCGCCATGCTGGCGAACGCTCTACCATCAGACCACGGAGGCGGTGAAACAAACGGATCCACTGGTCGTGGAACAAAAAGCTTCTGTGAACAGGTACTCAGAAGCTTATATAAATTGATAAAATTAGATTACTACACTGAACGTCACTGATTTCGTATCGTTGTCTAAATTGTGTTTCGTGTTTATGATTAAAAAAACAGCCTGTGAACTGATTATTGTTGCCTTATATTTTTCTGTGATCAACTGATTTGGCCATGTTTGTGTCTGTGACCGGTGCACGCTCACTTTTTAACGAACACTTGGTATCATCACGAGTTGATTATGCTTCATAAACACATGCTCAAGGCACAGTCGAAATCAGACAATGGACTCATATTTGACACGATTTTGGGAAGGGTTTGTCACTGTTATATAAGTAAAGGGTAAAATCCTCGAATTTAAGCTACAAATATAAATAA